AATCAAAAAATGCACCCCATAAACGGTCGTTCGAGGACAGGCTCTTTCTCCCCGGAAAAACGGAAAAGCGATGAATACACCACATATTACACCAGTGGAACATGAAAGCTTTGCGGTGTTGGGAAGCTTTGCGACGGCCTACATGGGGACAACTTTGTTTGCATTCCTATTGGAATTTTGCGAGACACATCGCAAACTTGCCTGAAGCAAGATGGGTTAGACGTGCGTTGAAGTGGCGGCCGGTGAGGCGGCCTGACCCTGGTAGACGCTGCAGCATGTGGATGACTTGCCTGGACAACTTCGCTCGCTTCCGACGCTGGGCCAACTGGGAAGTAAGTAAGTAAGTAAGTCCTGCATGCCCGTAGGCGGCCTCTTAGAGGAGCAGGCAAAGAACGCAACTTTACATGGTGTCAAACTGCATTTGAGCATGACGTCACGTCAATGTTAGAATCATTCTAAACATCGACGGCTTTTGACGAATCATCTTTGTTCAATTTTCTCAATGCTGTACAAAATCAATGAATGCACCCCGCGCGATGTCAAAGAAATTTGTCACGTACTCAGTCCAACAGGTATTTCCATTGAAACGCGCAAAAGCTTCAAGCTGCGTGTACCAACAATCGCGAGGTCTACCAGGAACGCGAACTCCATTTGGCGACCAACTCATCGCACGCTTCACCCACCTGTTTGCTGGCAACATCTGGCAACTTTGCCACATGATGTGCGAAATTCCAATAGCCATGGATGCATTTGTAAGACCAGCTCTGCAAGTTTAACGTTTGAGTCATCTGCTGGACATGTTGATTCCATTCGTGCAGTACCTCATGCCAGGGTAACGACCAATCAAGTCCCGAAGGCGGTCCAACCATGATTCTAAGCAATCGTCGCCATTCTGAATCCAGTTTGCGAAGATGATGCTGCCGTACTTTGCGATGCCCGGCACCAAAACATGCAACCGGTGTCACTACAGCTTCGAAAAATTTTACCCGAAGGGCCAATGGGACGTGCTTGTCACATAAAATCCACTTGTTCGCCCAAAAGGCCCGTGCAGCTGCATGGAGATGAAATTCGACATCCGAGGTTTGGTCACCACTCATGGACAACTGACATCCCAACCATTTGTGCGTGCTACCATCACGTACGATGTCAATGTAAGTTTCCTCATGAAGCCACACTCGATTTGGTGGCTGGGCTTGGGTCGTCATCAATTTGGTTTTGGAAGCATTCAATACCAAGCCCACTTGCCGCAAACATAAAATTAGTGAACGCACCATGACCAGAATTTGTTGCAGCGAGAGTGCGAACAGCAAAATGTCGTCAGCGAAGCGGAGGTCCGTCAGCGCCTGCGCGTTCGTTTGAAGTTGAATCCCAAAATTCTGTCCCGTTTGTTTCCAATCACGCATTGCCCACTCCAACACGGCGCAGAACAAACGAGGGCTCAAAACACACCCTTGTCGAACTCCAGCTCTGATCGGAAACTCCTTGCTCGATTCATTTTGCGTCTTCACTTGGCCAACTTGTTCGGAATAAAGACGCTGTATTATCCAGATCATGTGTTGGGCCAACTGGGAAACAGCAGCTATGAACAACAATATGTGGAATGAATCACGCGATGATTCTTGCAAATTTGTGATGGGGCAGGAATCTGCATAAAAGGTGCCTGGAGAACGTTTCACCTGTACCCTAAAGGGGACGCCTTCGGGCGATCAGGTCTCGACTCGACTCGACTACATCCTTGCATGCTGATGGTGCTCACTAGAACGGTGGGGTTCTTGGGCCTAACCAGTTTCCACTTGTTTTTGTTCCCGCTATTTTAATGCTTATGCGGAGATGTCGGCAGGGGTTTTGTTCACGCAACGCGCGTCGGCCCGATTTTCGCATCTTGGAGGATGTGTTGCTGCGGCATGCTGCGGCGCTGTGAAACGGCAGCTGTGTATGGAGTTGAGCAGCTTGCTGATTGCCGCCTTCTTTTCTACCCCGCATGACCGGCGCAATGTCATGTTTGCCCACTTAAAGTTTGTCTTGCTGGACGGTTTGGGCGCATTTCGCGAGCGGTCTGCGCATGATACCCCGCAGAACCCCGGGGAGGCGGCCGGGAGAGTTCCCAGGACCGCCTGCTACAGCTGCAGTCAGCGTGGCTGTTGCTTCTGCGCCCCCAGCACGTCCTTGGTGCGGCCCGTGCCGCCGACCCACACGGCGCGCAGCCTAGCATGATGCTGCGGTCCTGCGCGGGGCCTCGCGAGGTTGCTGGCCAGAAGGGATGGTGAAATACCCATCCCCAACCTGAGCACCCGTCGAGCCCCGCCCTCCAGCAGCGGACTCTGACTCGGGTCTGCGGAGAAGCACTGCCATGCAGCTTATTGGGGCTCGTGGGCGGACACCCTGTGGGCTAAGCGAGCACCACCCAAGTGTGCTCGCTGCCCTGGTTCGCCCGCCTGGGTGTCCGCCCACTGCTGAACACAGACGTGCCCGGCACACCCCCCAGCACACACGCGGCAGACCACGCGGTGCGCCACCTGCGCTCGGTGGGCTTCCCTGCACCAACCTGGGCCGACTTGGTGGCGACGAACCCTGAAGCAGCGCGGTGACCCGAATGCCGACGGATTCGGACGACCGGGATGGCAGCACGCGGCCACCACTGCCACTGACAAGCGCGTGCTCGAAACGCGTTCCCTTGAGCTGGACCCAACGTCTCGGGCGCTGCTGCTGGTTCAGGCGGGGGAGACCGCGAGTTGTGCCTTCACGGTCTTCCCACGAACCCCACCCCAGAGTGCCTCCGACGACTCAGGTGCCGGTCATGGCACCAATGGGACGATTGCAGGAAGGCGGGCGTCTACCGCAACAAGCTGGAGACCGGCGAATTGGATTTCGTGGCAAGAACGAGCCTGCGAGGGTAGCGTGGCAAGAACGAGCATGCTAGAGGAGTGTCAATGGTTCAGTGTCGAGCGGCGGTGGCAGCGGCGCGACGATGGCTGACGGCGAGCGGCAGGGCCTTGGCCCGACCAGTGCAAATTGGAGAGCAGGCATTTCTATTTCCACAAGACCAATAAAATCCTGTGGGTTGGTCCAGGTACAAGTATCGGCTTTGAAGGGAGGAACACGGTCGCTGTGCTTTGTGCGCGCCGGGCGAGTACGTCGGGCATGTGCTTTCGGATATTGAAGGTGACAAGCCATTACTACCTGACGACGTGATGCTGGAGCTGGAGAATGCTGGTGCGGACGCTTCGCAACGAGGGGCCCGTCGAGGTGCAAGCCCTACCACCGCCCCTCCCTGAGAGTTATAGAACAACGTCGAGCCAAGGGACCACTTCTCGCGGCGGAACGAAGCTCACGGCGTGTTGATGATGCGCACGGCCAAGACGGCGCGTTCGCGGGAGAACACGTTAATTAGAGAAAAAGATGCCATTGTTCCACAAGGCTGAAAGCTGCCAATGGCGAAACATCTCGATCATGGCGTACTAGAGGTCTTGAGCATTCAGGACTCCAACCGCGTCACGGACACGGTTCCGTCGGAGCGGATCGTGAAGCTGCGCTTCGCCTATCGTGACAAGAACACCGAGTAAATCTCGGCTTGTTGTTGAAGGGCACCTGGCCGAGATTGCTGTAGACTCCCCCCACGCTGCACAGAGCAACGCTCAGTACTCCACTACAAGTGCGAAAACGTGGGATGCCGCCGTGGGAGATGTCCAGGCGGCGTGGAATTAAACCTACATCAACCTCGAGATGGCATCGAGGGTTTGCTGGTTTGGATCGAAGGATATCGAAGGCGTTCCAGTGGGGTCGTCGTTTGCTGCGATCCTCGTCGCAGCCTGGCGAGTCTTCAACTTTGCCCTGACGCACCGGGGATTCTTGGGCACATATCGCAAACTATGCGAGATTCCGGTGTGCCTCTCCAATATTCGTATGGTTCGCACCCGGCAGTGGCACAACGCAGGCGGCGCACTGGACCAATTCGAAGCAGCTCCCTGCCGTGCGTTGCTGTTGGCGACCACCGTGCCTGTTGCCGGCTGTCGGGTTACTGGCGCTCGCGAGCTGCTCGCTCGAACGTGCCAGCGCTCGTGCCGCGCATGCCGTACGATTCTGCGCGACCAGCATGCTCTTGGTGATTGTGGGTTTTGAAGGTCCAGTGTGTGGTATGGGGGCTCAGCATTGGACTTCGGAGGTTCGGATTTTACGTTCAAGTAACCCCCTCAGAACCATAACAAGAATAGCCTTTGGAATACGTTCTTATAAAGATATCTCATGGAGAAAAGGCAATTTCCAAGCAAACTGCTGTGACAAGGTCCTGGCATCTAGATCTGCAACGCCGAAAGGCTGCATCTTAATGGTCTTAGGGTATACGGCTGTAAGGGCCTTACAAGGTTTAAGCTTAAGGGGCTGAGGCCTTTCGAAGATGTGTTCACGACGGTGGTTTTGCAGGGCGCCTAACAAGGTTTCCCGCAACTCTTGGACCACTGGTCTGTGTCCAGCGACGCCTTGGCGCGAAAGCTTCCTAAACTTCGTATACTACAAAATACTACATAGGCTAGAGACTAGAGTATGCGATAACTCTATTGTATGTGCACTGCACTTCATCCAAGTTCTCAAGAAAGTTGTGGGAGTAGGCAAGGTATGGGCTCTGACACAAGACAGCCTGTAGACAATTCAGGGTGAGAAGAGTGCACCATAGCTGTCAGGTCAGCCTCGGGCGGGTGGGAGCTGGGACCTAGGGACGTAGGCTTTCGACCATCAGTGCGGAATTTTCTGTAGACTCAGAAAGAGACTCCACCCTTGCAGAACATCTGACAGAATCTGAGTTCATATGGCAATACACACGTTTATCAGTTCCTAGCATAAGCTGGAGCCAAACATCTAAGCAAGTTGAAGTCCTGAAATCAGGGCCAATTCCAACAGGCCACTGCATCATGCCAATGATCCTGCAATCCTGCATGGCAGGGAGGACGTTTTCTGCAGCAGTGGATGGATCAACAGCAGATCGAGATGCCGGACGACCGAGTGACTTAGCCGTTGAGCAGGAATCGGAACTTCGTTTTGGGGTCTTCCCAGAAGCCCGTGTGCTTCCACTGGCCGTCACTAATGTACAGCATCTGATTTGGATCGTGATGGTTCTGAGAAGTCACCAACCAAAAGCCACCATCACCAGCAGAGACAACAAGCCACGTGCACTTGGGATCGGGGTTGGCTGGTGAGTGTACCCAGAAGCTGTCACCTTTTAGGTACAGCATTACGTTGGGGTCGTCAGCTTCCGAACCAGTGATGAGCCAAACCTCACCATTTGATGCTGGCTTCAACAGCCAGCGGCATCTGCCGTCGTAGTTGAAGTTGTGAATGTGGGTGCCACCAACCTGCCCCCAGAGAGCTTTGCAAACCCTAGGATGCTCAAATTGCAAACAGTTACTAATGGAGTTACTAGCAGCCATTGGCATGTGCAGATTCCAAAACCCGGTGCAGCTTCCCACCTGCCAAATCAGCAGGAAATCTTCGTAGGTTCTGTGACCCTCCGCACCCACGATCCAGTTTTCCGCTGGGCTCAGCATGAAGGGCTGTAGACCATACGCCACTTCCATCACACGCCATTGGCACTTCGGATCGTGCCAAAAGGCATGACTCTTCCAGATTGAGTTCGACAGGAAAAGCATCTCGCCTGGCAGGTGACATGTGTGACTTCACACCCACCACCAGCACAACAGCAAGAACAGCAGAACGGTAGCGAAAAAACTGCAGCAATAGTCGTCGTAGTCGTAGTAGTCGTCGTAGTACTAGTACTAGTACTAGAAGTACTAGTCGTCGCAGTCGCCGTCATGGAGAATTCTCTAACATTTTATGTATACAATATTGAGGTGTACATGAAGTGCCGTAACATAATGTAGCTTGCGATTGTGGTTCCCATCCTGGCTGATGATGATTTGGCCCCGTGACCAGCCAGAATTCGCCACTGCCCGGGACGGGGACCACTCTCCACTTTGTCTTCGGGTCCTGGGAACGAAGCCCCAGGCCCCATTGTAACTTATGTAACCTCTTAGAATTTACTAAAAGAGCTGACTGTCTTTCTCCACATGCTGCGGTAAACGTGTTAGTCGCAAATATACCTCATGTTGAGAACCGCCTAGAGTCTTCGTGCGCTAAAGGTTACAGTGTGTAGTCCAAAGTAATGTTAAGCAGTGACAACTCGGGGGGTCACATCTACTTAATCCGGAACACCTGCTAGCATTCACTTTTCCAGCATGGACATCACAAAAACACGCAGGACCAAACAATGCAGAATGAGCTCCAATACACCGATTCTGTGAGGCTTGCATGAAACCCTGAAGCCTCACAGGATCAAAGAAATATTGCTCTGATGAAAGCAACATAAAGCAACGACTTCAACATCCAACCTTTTACTGAAACGAGTATCTCTTGGAGGCCTCCTCCTTCCTCTTGAGAACCCGCATCATGCAGCATCTATTGAACCTTATCAAAACACTGCCACCTTTGAATGCTAACACACACGAACCACAACTGGTACCTTTCTGATCGTTTATGACGGGCCCCAATGTCCCAAATTCACTACTCATCCAACAGGTTGGAGGTCCTCCCAGAATGCGTGCAGTTGATACTTGTCGTCTTTCAGGTAGAGCATGTTGCCGGATGGATTTTGGTGATCTCCTGTTTCGAGCCAGTATTCACCAAGCCCGTCTGCAAGCAAACGCCACGTCTTGCTGGTTCTCGTCGAAGGGGTAGGTCTGAGGGCCATTGTCCCAAAAGACTGCCTTCCCTCTTTCCGCTTCCCGATGGCCGCCTGCCAGAATCCAAGATTTAGCCAAGCGTGAAAACGCCCTTTGGGAGCTTGACACCACAGTTGCTGCCAAGGAATCGAAGTCTGTCATGGCCTGCACCGCCGTAGCTTTGCTGGCCGGGGAGATGTGGGGCGAGCTCTAGCAAAGACCCTGAGTGGGACCACGCTACATCTGCACACCCAACTGCAACTTGTGGTTCTTCAACAAGCCAAAGACCTCAAAACCAACTAGTCCACTGACCAGCGAAAAGAGGACATGCTCCTCTTGCTCTTGCAGGGGCTCTTCATCCTTCGACTCCGCGAAGGACGTGCCTGCGGAGTCCTTCGGGAAAAGCGGTCGAAGCCTCCTGGCTGCCTCTGCACCATGCCAGCCTGTGACGTTGGGTCCCAACAGCATGTCATACTGTCATACACCATGGAGTCCAAAAAGCTGGCTCCACCTCGATTCCAGGGAAGCCAGGGAGCTTTTCAGGGCGACTTCGATTCGCTCTTTTCGGCTCTTAAGCAAAGACTCCCTGGACATAGCATTCAGGCCGAGTCATCGGCGCCATCCTTAGGCACGCCGAAGTTCAGCTTACCGCTGGCCGTTGTTTTTGATGGTTTGCTTTCTTAAGGGTCGTAGTTTATCTTGACATTTTGCATTGGTATATAGGTTTATTCGCTAGTTTTGGTCTTTGGGTTAGACTATAATTGCCTTTTAGATCGGCGGTTCATAGAAATGCTTATTATGAAGTCAAATTTGGGCATAGTATGGTTTAGACACTCACAAACTTTTGGATATTCGTAGGGTTTTAGACGGTTCAACTACTTTGACCACTACGACGTTATCAATGGCGCGCCTAACATGATTGAAGGGTTTAATGCTTCTCATTCAAGGCCATGTTTGCCACTGTTGCGATGATGTTAAGCATTGAGCAAAACCGATGTCTTATTTGAAGCGATTGCTCAACGAGTGTTCCAGCAGCGTCCTGACTTTCTACTTCGTTTGCTAGTGATGGCATCCCCTGCCAGACGTCAGGGTGTGTTGAGAAGGTCGCCTGTGCTGTGGAGGAAAAAGAGCATGTGAGTGATGGGTCAAGTTCCAAGCGTTCAGAGAAAGTTGATGAAAGCGACGAGTGTGACAATGCATCTGGATGTGCCAGAACCCATCAATAACAACGAAATCTCGGAGATGCCCGCCTACAAAGATGAGGATGACATCGGCTTTAGTGTTGAGCAAGCATTCTTCTGAGGTAAAGGTCACCTTCATAAGGTACTCCTGCCTGTAGGGCTACATGCGCAAGTTAAAGAAGGAAGCAAAGAAGAAGAAGGAGAAGACAGACCGCGCGCGTGAAGCAAAGCGTAAGGAACGGAAGACAGCAGTCACTTTGAACATCCAGCAGTGCCACAATGGCAGATCTTTGCAACATCATTCAGAATGCCTGCTTCAAGGAAACGTTGAAGAAGTCAGCGAAGCAGATGCTGATTTTTGTCAGAGTAAGACGACCTTGCTCCCAGAAAAACCGTTCGCGGTTTGGGACTTTGCGATGGCACGTGAAGCTTGGCTTGGTAGGTGGCGTGAAGAAGAAGAGCAAGTGCTTTGTGGGGGGCAAGTTTGAAAGTTGCTGATGTCCAAGCTGAAAAACACCGTTGAGCAATGGCTTGCTTTTGTCAAGATGATGGAGCGTACCAGCAGAACGGAATTAGAGATTTTAAGAAACCAGATGGAGACCTAAGCAAAGAGTGAAGCGATGATGCATCATCTCTTAACTGCTAGGTGATGTTTTTATTATGTCCCTATGATGAAATGTTATTCGGGTCTCTAAAAAAAACAACGCTAAAAGATGTTTTCATTGTGCCTTGTAGGTTATAAAACATGATTAAACCCATCCTTATGATTCCATCATTGCCCTTCTCTGTTCTTCTGCAAGTGCTTTCCGGCGGATTAAGCGTTTCCTTCGCAAATTCCTTGAAACAGCCTTAAATTCAGACAGAATGCGGAGCCACCTCAAGCGAAACAGAAAAACATCAACTTGAAAACATTGAAAGAGGGACTTTTGAAACAGTTCCGAGGGAGAAATCACAACTAAAAACCCACATAGCAAACAAAACACCCAAAAAACATTAGGAAAACTGGCGAAAAAAATGTTTGCATTTTTGTTGCAGGCTGTTTTTGTTGCAGGTGTGGGGCGTGTTGTTTTTGTTGCTGCGTGTGAAAACGTTTTTTTGCAGCAGGTGCGGGGGGGGCTGGGCCCGCCCCCTTCGTACGAAGGGGGGCTTGAAGGGGGGCTTGAAGCCCCCCTTGAAGGGGGGCTGAAGTCGGACCCTTGAAGGGGGCTTGAAGGGGGGGGGTGAAGGGGGGGGGGGAGGGGGGGGGGGGGGGGAGGGGCGAAGGGTCGAAGGCTTGAAGGGGGGTTGAAGGGGGGCTTGAAGGGGGGGGCTTGAAGGGGGGGGCTTGAAGGGGGGCTTGAAGGGGGGCTTCAAGGGGGGGGGCTTCAAGGGGGGCTTGAAGGGGGGCTTCAAAGGGGGCTTCAAGGTATAAATTTTTACTTGTAAATAAAGTTGGCTATTCAGGAATCACTAAACTTATTATTAAACGTGATGAGACAAAAAAAAGAATTTATATCGAAATACAATCAGTCGTACCTGGACGTATAGTAGGTAAATCAGGGGCGTTCTTACGGAAATTAGATGAAGAGCTTAGTATTCTTTTAAAAAATAAAAAAGTTCTAATTGGGGGCTTGAAGGGGGGGCTTCAAGGGAAGCTTCACAGGGAGGCTTCAAGGAGGGCCTGAAGGGGAGGTTTGAGACGCGAGCCTAAACGTCGCGAAGAAGGCCCAGGTGCTCGGCCTCGTAAACTGCTCCCTGCAACCCGTGCGAAGCAAGGCCGCTTGAACTGCTCCCTGGAACCTCGCGAAGAAGGCCGATCACTACGTGCGTGGAAAGGGATGTGCTGCTCAGAGTCTCAAGGACCCCGCTGGCGGTCCGCCAGGGTAAACCGCTCAAGGCGGCAATTCTGGTATCCGCACCTATATGAAACCTGGATTTGGACTATTTGGGCCAGCCACAGTCCCTTTATTAGATGATAGTCAGGGATTCCGTGTACATGACGGGTGCATTGCACCAGCAGGTTTTGACAAAATGGAATCTTCTTTCTCCGATTAAGGCGCTAAAGCACCAACTCCATAAGGAGACAGCTGATCTGGAGACTCAACCGGATATCTTCAAACGGAGGCCAGACAGCGCAGCTTGGCGAAGGGTCATGGATACCCTACAAGCTTTTTCATCCTCTCAGCTTGTCGAAATACACAATCAGTGTGCCTAAGGCCCACCTGTGTCCAGAGTGTGGAATATATTTTGCCACCAGTGTCTCCATGCTTGGCCACATGACATGAAAAATAAAGACCACCCGGCACGCCCCGCTAATCAGCCTATGCGCACCTTCGACAAACACAATGACGCGCTGGAAGGGCTGTCTCAGTGCCACTGCAAAGTTAAACTCTGCGACTTCTCCAGTCTTCGCAAGCACAGCGCTGTAAGATGCTTTCTCCCACGAGACGTCCACCCTGCTTGGACACGCCCCAATCATACCTTCTGACAAAATTGAAACATCAGCTGTCAAAGACAATAGGTCCAAGCTCAGCCCGACGTTGAAACCATTCACGTCGAGTCCGACCCCTTCCATCCTGCCCGCTCAGGTGCCAGACCAACAGACAACTCCGAAACACAGGTACTCTCTTTCAGAGGACTGCGTATGGCAGCTTACAAAGTATTCAGCTCACCACTGACCACGAACAGTGCCTGCAATTCACCGTATAAGCACTGCAGTGCGGCACCCAGCCAATGTACTGTCCTGTGGCAAATCTTTTTTGTGCATCTTAAACTGCGTAGCGACAGAACTGGCAATGGAGGAGCTTCAGCAAGTCTTCGACCTGATGATGAAGCAGCTGGATCTCATGGAGTGGGCACCAACAATGAAGAGGAAGCCGAACCAGACTCGGCCCCTACCAAGCGCGGCAAGGCGCCAGTGTGGTGTCATTAGAAGTAGTCACGAGCGTTGGAAAGCCTAGCAGTCGACGAGGAGAAGCCCCCGCTTCCACACGTAAAGCTTGTAGAAGCACTGAGGGAGGTGTTAGACTCCACTCATAAGCACACACTGTCAGGCAGCGCATGCGCCTTCCCTCCTCCCCCAATTCTCCAGGCTGAAGGTAAAAACGAAGGAGGGGGCTTCGAAAGCTTCAAAGGAGGACGAAGGGGGCTTCGAAGGCTTTGAAGGTAGGAACGAAGAGGCTTCAAAGGCTTTGAAGGTGAAGGAGGCTTCGAAGGCTTCGAAGGTGAGAACGAAGGGGGGGACTTAAGGAGGCTTCGTATCATGTCCTCCACAAAGCCATTCTATTAAAGATGGAAATGGAGATAATGAATTTGTAATTACTGTAACTCCAAGGTAAAACATAACCCATAAACGCTGTTCCCATTAAGAAGAAGTAAATAATAATTCCAGAAAACCAAGTATTTGGATTAAAAATACGAAGCATAAGATATAGCTCTTCCAAGATGAAGAAATATAAAAAGAAAGACAAATGATACACCATTAGAATGAAGATAATGTGAACACCATCCATAATATATTTCTCTAATTAAAAAGAAAAGAGAAAAATATGCTGAATTAATATCTGATGTATAATGTAAACCCAAGAAGATTCCGGTAATAATTTGTAATAAAATAGTAATTCCTAATAAAAAAACCAATATTCCAAAAATAATTTATGATCAAAGGACAAGGATATGATTGTAAATGAGATTTCATTAGTAATACAAAATATGCTGCATTCACTTTGTTTCGTTCGTTTATATATTAAATTCACGCATTCACTTCACTACGTTCGTTTCTTTGTAATTTAATATATTTCACTCTCTTGTAGCAGTAGCAGTAGCAGTAGCCAGTAGCCAGTAGCCAGTAGCCGTAGCAGCAGCAGCAG